CAGACACTAATCCTAAATGTCAAACAAAATAGCTAGGTCCAGGAAGGTAAGAGAGGAACAGATTAAAGAGAATGACAAAAATAAACAGTTAAAAGGATAAACCCTGATTAAAACAAATTGGCATAAAAAATGAAGAATTTATTACAACAGCACTCATAAGCTAGTCTGAAGTGCTCATGCCCCTTTCCCAACTTAGGTTATAGCACTGTTATCTCACAACACAAAGGAAATCATTTGGATATAGGTAAAGCCAATTCATTTATACACACTTTGCTTTCTTCACTGATTATGGAATTTGAAGGACAGTTCAATCCCGAAGGGGCAGAGAAGACGCTTTGTGCTTTTTCCACTGATGGCTTTGATGAGAATCATTTGTACCAGAGACTCACCAGACAAACTTTATATTTCATATTTCCCAGGGTATTTCATTTATGTGTCATCGTTAAATCTAACATGACACAAATTATAAATCACCAACTTGCCCTTTTTAGTGTGAAATCCAAGAGAATATACAAACCAAAACCAAATGTTTTGCTTTATTTAGATGTTAATACTCACCTTTACATGCTTAAGATTATTATTAATGCAATTTGTTAGAATACTGTGGGAACCATAACTTTGAATTTCATGATTCTCATGTGACGATCCCAGTGTTTTTAAACTTATAACTGAATATACGTATGTCTTTACACATTTGCAGAACTTTTAATATTTAAGAGCACAAACTCTGGATTCAAGAAATTGCTGGAGAGAAAAAATTTACTCAGAAGTTCAAGGTCTACTCTTCTCTCCTTCCTGGACGTATGAGCAAGTTGGTTCATTTTGTATATTAAAAAAAAAATTGCAATGATTCAAATTTAAGGCCCTTCTGTAGTTTAGAATAAGTTTGAAATATGACAAAGTGCCCAAAGTATTTGAAAGATTCAATGAGTTTTGTTCCCATCTAAGTGTACTGTACGAGATACCTGTTCTTTAAGCGGGGCAATACTGCAAATACTTGATTTCTCTAGAACTCAGTAGTGATTTAGGTAATATGCCAATTAACGAGGGCTTTACTGCTTTGTCTGCCCAAGCTTATAACATGTTCTTTCATGTTACATAAATACGTGCACTTTTATTTCAAGATAAGTATACTTCTTAACATACATACTGTGCTCTACTCTCAAGATTAGGGTCCTTTAATTTAATCAATATACTATTAAGCCAAGTCAATAAGTATCTCAATGTGATGATTTCCTTTTGGCCGATAATTCCTCCCCGTAACACGGGAGTATTAATGGATGTCAATTTCTCAACCACTGAAATGCAAAGTTATAATTTTCAGGGGAAAAAATGAGTTAGATTCTTACATATTTTAGGTTTTTATTAACTTACCAATGTAGTTTTATTGGAGGCCATTTTTTATTGCAGGCTTGAAGAGCTATTACTAGAAAAATGCATGACAGTTAAAAGGAAGTCTGCATGACACAAAAAGGTAGCTAAACACAAGTTTTGTTTGGATTCCAACCCCCCCATGTAATACATATTCTCAAACATGTATACTAGTCCATAGAGCAGGCAAATTTGAACTCCTGTGTAAGTTGTTAGTAATATATGCCTGAGTATATCAGTCTTCTAACCAAGTGGGTCTAGAAACCTACTAGGGACAATGGTACTAAGACAGCTTTACAAGGCAAAAAAAAAAAAAAAA